ATGTGTAGAATGCAGGTTTTCTGTGTTTCAGATTAGTGCCCTTTCTGCTATGCTTTGTTGCCTCCCTACACTCAATAGGAAAGGCAGAAAATGTTAGTACTCTTGATTTGTTGCTCTCTTTAAAAAATGTAGAAAGACTCTGGGTATTATTGATAACATATTGAATGAGACTTGTTTTGATGCTCATGATACATAGCCAGTCGGCCTTCTTCCAGAGGAACCATTTTTTCAAGGCATCTGTTATTTTCAAAACTGGCCCCATTAACTGTTGAAGTTGATCTGATTTGATTGGTTAAATGATCAGGATTATCAGACTGAACATATTTTGATCAAGAAGGAAGCATAAAATGATGAAAGAAATGAAATAAAAGCAGGCCAGATCAATTCTTTATCATTTACTCTCATTTTGCCCCAATGGTGTCCAATTCATAGCATTTCCTGCCACATCTCACCTGTGATCCTCCTGACAAGCAGCATTAAGGATTGAAAAAGCTGTAGATATGCCAATTAATATGACTTTTTTCAACTAAATTTCTATTTTCAATGATCTGTGTCCTGATTATGGTATAAATAAAGACAGAACAAAGTTCCATCACAAAACATGACTAGTATAGCCCTATCTGAGGAGCATGATCAGCTAGCCAACTTTGAAAAGTTTAGAAAACTAATGTTAAAGCCACTGGTACTCACCAGCTTGCTGTGTAAGAATAATTTCAGTGATGGTGCTGATGACTGAAATGAAGTCACAGATAACTCAAGATATCTCTGAAATCATGGAAGAAACTGAAAGTTAGGATACATTCTAGGGAGAATGTGATGGTGAAGGCAATTTTCAGTTGCTTTAATACCAGTTTATAGGTGAAACAAGCAGAGTAGCACTATTAAGAGAATCAAGACAATATGGAGCAAATATCAGGTAGTTAGGATTGGTAATCTCCCCTGGTGAGACACCTTATCACTTTATCATCAGCACCACAGTGTTCAAGGTGAACAAGGCCATGATAATAATGTACTTGAAGACCAGGAACACCGTGAAGTGCCATGCACTATACTATAAAGTTTGGGGGCATATAGCACATGAGCAGTGTTGCACTGAGAGCAGAGTTTCAATACATGCCCTCTTCTTCTCTGGATAGTACTCCTCCACTATCTTGTCCTCTTGCTCCTGGAAGGTGATAATTATGAGAGCCACGAAAATCTTGACAAAAAAGAGGAAGACCACAAGACAGACCACATAAAAGATAAGCATTTCTACACAGTTGCTGTGGCTCAAGCTCTGGTCTTCCTCAGTCACAATCTGCAGAATTCTAACTTGTGACCAGCCTTCTGTGGACACAGTGACAAGAGTCAACTGGATCCAGATGATGTTATCATAGTGGAAATCCATTCTCTCTTCCATTTATTTTCTCATGATCTGCATAGTTGATTACATATTCCTTTCCATGTCTATGAAGCTTTCTATAAAATAAAACAATTTCCCCTTGAAAAAATTGGAATGTGATGATAGCAAAGATGAAAATCAAGAGCTTGTTAGCAGGTTCTGTATTTTTGTTACTTTTGATTAGTCTTTCACATGGTTGTTGATAGTTTGTAATTCTTTTAAAAACTTTGTTCATATATTTTGACCACTTATCTATTAAGCAGTGGCTGTTGATTAAATATTTGTGTTGATTACGTGTAAATGTAGATAGAATTGCTGGTTACCTACTCCAATGCTGTGTGTACTTTCTTCCATGTGCCCAATTGAAGCTGCCCTCTCCAAAGTTCCACTAATTTTTTTTTACTTAAAAAAAAAAATTCTCAACCTAGGCACAGAAAAAGAGTATTTCCATGCATGTAACAGAATAAAAGGAATTTTAAATCTTTTTTGTTCCACTTAAAATATATATACATATATATGTACATAAAATAATTTTTGCACGTTACTTTCAAAACTGTCCTGCTTTATTTTTGCTTCCTTATTAATTTGCTTCTTTTCTGTTTATTTAAAAATTTTTTAATGGTCCTTTAAAAACATTTTTAAAAAGTATATTTAGGCAAAACTAATTCACATAGTAGCTATGCCCAAAAATATTTGTCTCCTTCTATACTGTGTGACCATCATCTCATTATCAGGAGGTGGGTACGTAGTGGTTGGTTATTACATTGATCTGTTCTTAAGTCTTTCAAAGTTGTCTTTCTTTACAGTATTTTAATCCTTGCATAAATTGTTCTCCTGGTTCTACTTTCTTCACTCTTCATCAGTTTTTACTACCTAGGATTCTCTGAAATCATCTCTTTCATCATTTCTTTACACTGTAATAATATTCCATCATATCATATGCCGCAATGGTCTAAGAAGCAATACAAAGCATTTCTTTAGATTCTAGTTCTTTGCTTTTCTTTGTTTCTCCTTTCTATCCCTTCCCCAGTATTGTTTTTCCCCAGTATTATTCTGTTTACCCCTATATTATTCTGTTTATCCCTCATGCTTATTTCTCTGTTGTTTTATATATTTCTACAACAAACTATGTATGTGTTCAACCTTCCTTTAAGAGTGAAGTTTATTTGATGTCCACTCTCTGATCTTTTCTTCTGTGTCTGCACTCTTGTCATGTGCCCTAATCATAAAAAACGGCATGTTCCACCCCCTTCTTCCTCCTCGTGTATGCATTTATCTCCCTCAGTACCCTTTGAAGGTATTAAGGTTCTGACACTTGTTTCTTCTTTTCTTAATAAAATTTTAGTTCTACATCATCATTTATCCCCTTCCAATTACTGAAATTTATTTATTTCAGACAACCTCTGGAAAAGATATGTTAACATAGAGAAGATACATACACACACGGAAGATACATATATGCATACACACATGTGTGTGTATATTGTATGTATATTTATATTTTTTGCAGACAAACTGGAAACATTTATACATAATGTATGTATTTTCTACATATATATAGAAGAGATAGATATAGATCTCTCTTCTGTTTTACAGGCAAGGTTTTTGGAAAAGCCATTTACACTGGTTGCTTCTACCTCCTTACGTCTCACTACTTGCCAATATAAATTGGCAGATTTCTCTGTGACAAATAGAGAAGTCCCACCATCCTTCAGATCACCCAGTCATGATTTTAAAATCATCCTCAACTCTTTCCTCTACCCTACTTTCCCCACTCTTTTCCAATAAGTTGCCATGTCTTGTCATTTATATTTCCATGCTATTTCTCACATCTATTGGCTTCTTTTTAATCACATAGCCACCATCCTAGTTTGTATTTTCATTACCTCTTACCTGGATTATTATAACAGCCTCTTCATTCATCTACATGCTTCCAGTTTCTCCCTTCTCCATTGTCCAAAGTAATTTTCCAAAAGCGTAATTCTGAATACATCCATTCCCTATTCAGGAAATTTCATTGGCTGTTGCCTCTAGGATTAAAAAAACAAACTCTTGCTTGGTGTTTGAAACCCTTCAAAATTTTGTTCTACCGTACCATTTTAAGCTCCCACTCCATTAATCCCTTTCATGTACTCTACAAGCCAGTCAGACTCGGAGGGACACCTCAGAGGCCACTCGAACTAAGCTCTCCTGGAGGTCCCAGGCTCACAGATTTGGAACTGACACAATCGTAGGTGCCATCTTGTCCATTTGATAGGTGAAGAAATTGAGACTTGGGGAGGTTACATGATTTGCCCCAGGTCACACGGATACTGACTAATTGTCTGTGTAACCTTGGGCAAAATCATTTAACCTCTCAGGACTTTAGTTTCCTCATGTTGAATCTCAGGAGGTTGGCCTGAATGCCCTCTTAGTTTTAATCTGTATATGATCCAGTGATTTAAACTCAGGCTTTCTGACTCAAAATCCAATGTTCTTTTCACTGAACTACATTGCTTCTGGACCTGACAAGTCCAAAATGGTTCATCCAACCTTTGTTTGAAAACCTCTGCTGAGGGGAGTACCTATTACATACTGAAGCAGCTCATTCCACTTTTGGATGGCTCTTTTCGGAAGTTTTCTTTACATCCAGCCTAAATTTACCTTTTTTTTTTTTTTTTTGCCATTTCTACCTATTACTTTGAGTTTTGCACTTTAAAGCTCTCTGTGATAAAGACAGCAACTAACAAATGCTAGTGTTAAAAACATAGCTACTATTTCATTTTGGGAAAATTTTTGTTTATTCTATAATCCTTAGTTTTAAGAATATATCACAGGTGGAAATTTTAGTCTTTTTAATAATTTATAGTATATTGCATTTTTAACTTTGTTAAATAGAATAGACAACTTTGACTTATTCATTTGTTCTCTGTTATTATAATATTATGAGTCATCAGACAGTAGTCTCCAGAAAATTAGAAATTAGTACTACATAGATGCAATGGAGAGGTACATGATAGATGTGAATGAGCTACAACAATGAAAAAATAAGTTTTTGGTCCTCCTAGTGGGTAGATGTATAGTCTATGTTCTCTAGAGGTATCCTTGTGATGTTGCGAAAAAATGAAGGAGCTCATTTGGTCAACTCTTTGAAAGAAAGTATGGAAGAACATAGACAATTTTCCCATAGGAGAATCAGGAATGAACAGCTTGTGATCTGTACCATTGAAGGAAACCTCAAAAAAACTAATGAAATCATTAATTCATTTAAGTATATAGTAACAGGATATAGTAGGAAGAATAGTTTTCTTTTGTTTTTTTTTGTGGTATGATACAGATCTCTTTTCAAACGTTGAATTATATTGTATTTGAGCAAATAAGAAAATAAGTAACATACTTCTGTATTTCCCATACAGTGGCAAATCTAGTTCTTAAACAGAATACTGAAATTCTGTGATTGTTATTTTATCTTTCAAAAAAGTGACAGATCAAAAGGAGTTTGTTTTAAGTTTTTTGGTATAATTGCTATGTGATATCAGAGTACTAACAGATTATCTCTTTTCAGTGATAGTTATTTGAAAAGTAAACACTCTTCATCAATTTGCCCAAGGTGATATGGGATATCCTTCTCCTTTTACAGATGCAAGTAGTAACAGAATTTAAAACTGAGCGGGAGCCAAACTGTTCTGACCCTGATGCAGAAGGAGTAAGCCCTGCTCCTGTGGAGTCCCAGACACCGATGGATGCAGATAAGCAGGCCATTTATAGGTAGCTGCTTCAACTAAAATACAATGTATTCGGTCTTTTTGTTTAAATTATTTTTTATTTTAAATATGCTGGGGCAGGAACAAGGGGAATATATGGAGTAGAAAACATTCACCAGAATGAAGAAATTATGTAGATTGTTATGAAAGATAAAATGACCTTTCAGGTGAAAATTTTCAGATTTAGTATTTCTTATATCTGTTAATTTTGAAATATATTAATTGTAATAAATTTCAAATTAATATGTGTGATATCTTTAGCTTGAAGTTAGTTAAGATATAATAACTATAATTTAACTTATAATACTGACTTTGTAAATTCCAGTGCTTCATATCATAAAATACCACATTTTAGAAATGAGATAAGTTTTAAATAAGCTATTAAGCTCATGCTGCTTTTCATTTATGAAGTAAAATTGTTTGGGGGAAAATTATTGGGGGCCTGAATATGTTTATGTCCAAAAGAAGAACTACTATCCTTGATAAAGTCCTTCAGTTTCATCACATAGTTTCACAGTTCCATTGAGCTCTGGATAGTTTTCCCCCAGGTCTTTTGAAAGACTGGCCGTTTCGTTTAACCGTGCCAACTTATAACTTGATTCATTTATGATCATCTAACTTGTTTTCAAGGTGAAGAACTGGCTTTTTTCTAGGTCTTTTGGGTAAAAAGTGAGTTCATTAATTTGCTGCAATATAAACTTTTTCTCCACCTTCACAAAATTATAGTTAATGAAATAAAGCTAGAAAATAATTAGCTATGAACTTTTAATAACTAACTGTTTTTGTTGTTCACTTCACTTGTTCATATCTGACTCTTCGTGACCTCATTTGCGGTTTTCTTGGCAGAGATACCATACTGGTTTGCCATTTCATTCTCCAACTTATTTTATAGATGAGAAACTGAGGCGAACAGGGTTCAGGGACTTGCCCAGGGTCACAGAGCTAGTAAGTGTCTGAGGTCAGATTTGAACTCAGAAAGATGACTTCCTGACTCTAAGCTCAATATTCTATCCACTGAGCCACCAGCTGCCCTTCTAATTACAAAGAGTGAGTAATGAAGAGTGTTACAAGGATTTCCAGCAAAGGTAGTGGTGTGATAGATTCTGTCTAGCTCCCCTGAGAAACATTCTCAGAAAAATTAAAAAAAAAAAAAGAAGCAGCACCAGGTGAAACAAAGATTCAGTAAAACCAAAGAGAAACACCAGTTAAGTTACTTCATACATTCCAAGACTGCACATGAAAATGATCAGAAACATGAGGTCATTCTGCATGGAGCCACGCAAAGAGGATCTGAAGGCAGCACCAGCTTTCACAGATCTTGTCTGAAGCCAGAGGGGTCTGGGTCAAGGCCTTTTGGAGCCATAGCAAAAGATGTAGTCAACTCAGTATAGATTATGCAAGGAGGCTGATGGCTTATGTACCCAGTGTGCCTGGAGGCGAGATCTCTGACTTCAGGTTGAGGCTTGTCAGGGTCAATCCAGGAACAAATCAGTTTCCAGTAGGTTGATTACATATGGAAAAGGAGATGGAGCTAAGGCCATTGCCAGCATTGGGCTCAAGAAGAGAGAGGCAGGCAGCAAGACCTGCTTTACTCTCCTGGCCCAGCTCCTTATCCGAACCTAAGGCTATAGAAGAAAGCAGGAAGAGGATCAGGACCCAACTGCCCCATTCAGTACTACAGCAAGGGGGAATAATGGTATCCAAACTACAGTAGGGACAGGACCTGGGCCTAGCCACTCTCTCCAGGAGTGAGAAACAGGATAGAGCCTGACTGTGGCACAAAGTCCCAATTCAGCAACTGAGGACAGAAATGTGAGCAAGCAGAGGAAAACTCTAAATACAATACTATGGAGTTTAAAAAAAAAAAGGCCAAGAGCCAGAAAAAGAGTAGCTCACAATAAAGACAAGTAGAAGCTAAGAAAAAAAAAATGACTTAGCCTCAAGGACTCCAAGAGTAGATTAAAGAATAAAGCAAAATATTTTTTAAAGAAAATGAAATTAGAACACATGAGGAAAAAAAAAAACAGTTGGAAGGAGAACAGCTCAGCACAGAAAGTGAGAAGCCTTAAACAAATAGTAGGCAACCTAAAAAATAGAATGGAGCACCAAATCAATAATAACCATAGAACTGCAAATTACAACAATTCTGAGGTTCCTCATCACACCCAATGAATTGACAAAGGTAAGGAAAATTAAAATGTCATTTATTGAAGGGCCTATGAGAAGGCAGTCAAACTAATGAACAACATATTGCTGGAGATGTGAATTGCCCAAACTGTTCTGGAAAGAAATTCAAATCTGTACTCAAAATATGACTATACTGGACATCAACTTTTACTCAGCAATACTAATACTGGACATATAAAGAGTTTAGACTCCAAGGGAAGGTACTCCTACATACAAAAAAACGCTAATAGCTTCACTTTTTGTTGTAACAAAAACCTCAAAGTGGGAACCCATTGACTGGATAAAGGCTGAACAAATTATTTTTTATGAATATAATATAAGGCATAGTGTGCCATCCTTAAAGCCAGGAAGGACGTGGGTTTAAGTCTCATAACCCAGGCAACTCTCTAAGACAAGTTACGAGAAGGAATTGACCTATGTTGGTCAGAAACGGCATGGAAGCAATTTCTTACTTGGCAGTTCTGTAAACCAATGAAATCACAGGTTCATCTCCTATCCTATCCTAAAGAAGAAGGAGATGGATTCAGAAAAACCTGGGAAGACTTGCATGAAATAATAAAAATAATGATAAAAAACAACAACAGTAACAATAATATATATCATGGGGCTTGTTCTGGGCATACCCAAGCGTCTTACGTGGAGGCACTCTACCTCCCCTATCATGAGTGGCACAGGCTGGAAAAGTTTACATCTTTAAAACTAGCCAGACTGACTGGCAGAAATTATTCCACAGTATATTAAGTGGGAATGTGATCTGATTAAAGATCTTACTATAAAAAAATTGGAAGAGAAACAGATCATATACCCCTTACAGCTGTATGTAGGAAACATATTCTTAACCAAACAAAATAGAGGCAATTATAAAAGATAAAATAGATAACTGAGTACTTGAGACTGAAAAGCTGCACAGACAAAATTAATATTTCTGAAATAAGTAGAGATGTGGTCAAATGGAGAAAAAAATCTTTGTATCAAATTTCTCTGACAAGAGTCTGGTATCTGAGATATGTAAACAGTATATGTGTGTATATGTATACATATATATGGCTAATAACCATCCTCCGATAAGATAAATGATCAAAGGATGTGAACATGCACTTATTAAAAGAACTATGAAGTATTCACAACTACATGAAATACTGCTCCAAATTTCTAATAATACAGGAAATGTAAATCAAAACAATCTTGAAGTTTTACCTCATACTTTGCAAATTGGCAAAAATTATAAAAAAATGTCACCAATTAATATTGGAGAGCTTGTAGAAGAAAAGGCCCATTAATAATTGTTGAAGGAGCTGGTACAACATTTTGGAAAGCAATTTGAAATTAAGCAAATAAAGTAACTAACATAATCCCAAACCTTTGAGTCAGAGACTCCATTACTGAGCTTTTACCCCATGGAAGTCATCAATAAGAAAAAAGTCCCAAAAATATTGATAGTAACACTTTTTTGTGAAAGCTAAGAATTGGAAATAAAATAGATGCCTCTCAGTTGCGTAATGGCTGAATACAAATTGTGGTTCGTGAATGTAATGGAATATTACTGTGCTATAAGAAATGATATGTGTAATGTAAGTATAGAGATTAGAAAGGTCTATATGAACTAATGCAGAATGAAGTAAGCAGAGCCAAGGAAAATAACATACACAAAAACTACAATGTATATGGGAAGAACAATGACACACCAAAAAATCAAAAGTAAATTTAACAAAATCACAGAGATTAAGTTGGACTTTAATAAAGATCTATAAAGGGACACCCCCAACCAACCTGTTTGTGGAAGTGAGAATTCCGCAGGTGTTACACATTGAATTTGTTTTCAGACTTTTGCAGTGTATCATCAGTTGTGCTGATTTTTTTTTCATCTCTAAAAATACTATTTGTCATATGGGATGGCTGTCTGGGAAGGACCAGGGAACAGATACTTAGGATAACTGTGGTGATTAAAAAACAGAAAATATCAATAAAAACTTATTTAAAAATTTTTTTCAGACAGGGCTATTCGCTTTCTTTTAAAGATCACAGTTCACCCTTGGGGGAGGGTGGGGTGGGAAGGAATGAAATGAACAAGTGAGAGAAAAGATGCTCTCAAAGTCCAGAGGAGCCAGCGTGCCTAGCCTTGAGCCCAAGGAGGGCTTTGGACTTGGGATTGGAACTGTGTGTGCCAGTCCAGCTAGGAACTGAGCCAAACTGTGACCCTTATTCCCCTCCCCCTTCCTCTTCCCTTCCTAGAGAATCGGTAGTGTAGGAGGAGGAGCATTATGCTTCCTGCATGTTTTGGGGGGAGGATGTTTGTATAGCTGTGATTATGCCTTTGAAATAAATATTCCTTTTTAAAATCTAATCTGTTAGTAGTTAAATGGAACTGAGGTGGAAGGAGTACCCCCATACTTGGGGGAACACCATTGGTGGAGGCTAAAGATATTTGCAGAGAGCCTGGACATCCAAAACTCCTTAAAGGTTACCAGAGAACCCTGGAGGAGGGATAAAAAAAAGTAATATACCTGTTTTCCCAGGCAGTGGGGGACCAGGGTGTTACATATGATACCATTTACATAGCTATACTTTAAGGTTTGCAAAGCATTTTACAAATTTATCTCAGTATATCTTCACAATAACACTGCAGGGTAGGTGCTATTATTATGCCCGATTTTGAGGTGAGAAAACTAAGGCAGACAGTGGTTAATTGACTTGGCCAGGGTCTCACAGCTAATGTCTAAGTCAGGATTTGAACTCACCTGCCTCTAATAGATCAACTGCAAGAGCATGGCCCTGGAATGGTGCAATGAGTGAAAAAAATATTTTCACAAACCCACTTATGAAGAAAGAAGAAGAAGAAAAAGAAAAAGCAAGATCTTATCAGTGTTTTTGGAACAGATGACCAGACTGAAATCTGTAGACACGTTTTAACAAAAGAAGTATAAATATCAGATGAAGAACGCACAGACATGCACAGAGGCATGCATACACACACACACACACACACACACGCACATGCACACGCCTAGAGCAAATGTCAAAGGGAAATTGCACATAATAGAAGCACATGTGTGAATCCTAAAACTAGAAGACCTTACACTATCATCTTAAGTGAAAAGCAATAAAGCCTAACCCTTATTTTGTCAAACCTCACAAGACTATAACCTGAATGTTGTGTGGGTCTCAGTGAGATTAGGATTCATGTGCCCAGGTAGAAACTAAAAGAGAAACCCAAGCCTTAATTAATGTTCTAGAGATCAAAGACTTTGGTGAGCAGTAGAAATCAGGTCTGATTAACCTAAACTGATACAGAGGAGAAAAAGGAAAGGTTCTTTGAAGTTCTCAATCTGAAAGATGTGGAAGAAGGAAAAAAGAAATTTGAAATGTTGAAAAATGATTTTATTTTTCTAAAAAAATCTTCTACTTCCCTCAGCACTGTTTAATGGCAATGTTTTTTTCTGATAAATATTTGCTCAGATTGCTTCATAGTTTTCCATACTAGTATATGTGTTAACTAAATGAGTCACTTATGCAAAGAATTTCCTATATAAGGATCCTAATGTGGGATAAATTCCTGTTGATTATCAATTAAGTTGTGCTATATTAAGAGAGCCAAAATAAAATATGTAAGTCAATTTTGCATTTGCCCATGCACCTGGGCTATTTCTGCCATTTAAATTTTAACAATGGCCATTCCTTATTAACTTAACATCTCTAGACTTATCTTGAGGTTTTCACAGCATTCATATTTTGGGCATGTCCCCTGACAGTACACCATTTCTTTATGCTAGAACTTGATATGTATTGGATAATTTTAATTTGGCCTAATATTAAGCTGGGTTTTATGACTTCCCATTGATATTGCTTTTAAGGTATACTGTCTAGGACTTGATCAGTCTTCTAATGCTGCCAAAAAGTAAAGACTATCTTCCCATTCATTATTCTTTGAATTGATAATAAATATGAATACAAATTAAGTCATATGCACCAAAAATTACTATTATTTTTATTTTTAAAAATAGATCACTTTGATTACATGAAATTGAAGGCTTTTACATAAACACAGCCAGTGTAATCAGGACAAGAAGGAAAGCAGTTGACAGGGGAAAATCTTTGTATCAGGTATCACTAACAAGGGTCTGATATCCAAGAAATATACATGTGTATATTTATAAATATACACACATACACACATATCTAGTTGTCTGGATAAGAACAAAAGTCGTTTCTTAAAAGATAAGTGTTCAAAGGATATGAACTAAACAGTTCCTAAAAGAATTCCATACTATTAACAATCATAAAAAGAATGCCCCAAATTTCTAATAATAAGAAATGTAAATCAAAATGACTGATATTTCATGTCACGCTCTGCAGATTGGCAAAGATGATAAAAGATGGCAGTAGTCAGTGTGGTAGGGATTGTGAAAAGACAGACACACTAATGCATTATTGGGGGAGCTATGAATTTGTCAGACAGTGGGTAGAACACTGGGCCTAGAGTCAGGAATACTCATCTTCTTGATTTCAAATCTGGTCTCAAACACTTACTAGCTGTGTGACCCTGGGCAAGTCACTCCACCCTGTTTGCCTCAGTTTCTTCATCTGTAAAAAGAGCTGGAGAAGGAAATATCAGACCACTCCAGTATCTACCAAGAAAACCCCAAATGGGGTCACGAAGAGTTGGATACAACTGAAATGACTTAACAATATCAGTAACAAATGGATTTGTCTAGCTATTCTGGAAAGCAATTTAGAATTAAGCAAAGAAATTGACCCAGAGATATACACTTAGGAGGTCAGTGACCAAAAAATGTCCTATGTAGACCAAAATATTTATAGCACATGGAAACATTGTAGATGCCCATGGATTGGAGAATAGCTAAAAAATTGTAGCATATGACTATAATGTATTACTGTTGATCTGATATAAAATTAAGTTAGAATAACCAGGGAAGTCGTATATACAATGACACAGCAAAAATGAAATACAACAATGAAACAAATTAAAACTGAATGCTGTCAAATTATAATGACTAAGCCTGGCCCCAAAGAAGAAATATGAGAAGACACCTAACACTGCCTCTTTACAGTGCCGTGGGACTGTAATAGTGGAATAGTGCGTGTACTGTCAGATATAATTTTTCTTAAGTCAGTCGTTGAACTTTTAGCTGAACTTTTTTCCTTTTTAATTTTTTTTAAATTATGGGAATGGGGAAGAAGAATGTAATAAGAAATGTAATTGATGCAAAGACAAAAAATATTTAACATTTTTTGAAAAAGAAAGACTGAGGAGCTCTGATACAATCACAACAGAATACTGATGATAAAGTATAGCATGAGGAATATATTTCCAGGCGTAGCTGATATGTAGATTTCTTTTGCTTGGCTATACTTACTTGTATCCAGGCAGGGCTTATATTTGGGAGGGGCAGTGAACAGTTGTTGGGTAGTGAGAGGAACACAGATGAGTAGTTTTCTTATTATTTTGTTAAATTTAACATATGCTTTTAAAAAACTACACAATCTCAGTTTCATGTACAATCCTCATTTGTGTTCTTCGCATATTGAAATGTTCCTTTTTTGTTACATATTTGGTTTCTAATAAAAATTCTTAAAAAAATAAAAAAATACATTAATATTTATATAAAGTGGCTTTTACAAACACTTGTAACTTATGTATCATAATTCTATAAACCAGTTTAATTTTTTAAAACATTGCTTTCTGAGAGTATTTCCAAAAACTGTTAAAGTTTAAAATGAAATGTGGCAAATTTATTCCTTTTTTTTTCTTCAGACATCCACTCTTCCCATTATTAGCATTATTGTTTGAAAAATGTGAACAATCTACACAAGGCTCAGAGGGCACAACTTCTGCCAGTTTTGATGTAGATATTGAAAATTTTGTTAGGAAGCAAGAAAAGGAAGGAAAGCCTTTTTTTTGTGAAGATCCAGAAACTGATAATTTGGTAAGTAAAAATTAATATAACAAATCAATATTTTTATATAGCAATTTAAACAGTGCATATATATATAGTGATTAACTTTTTTATCTACCTTATTAATTATATCCATAGTCTTTATGAAACTTCCCTTTATGAAACATACCTATTCATCCCTTCTCAAGCCTCCATGGCATCACTGAACTCCACACTCTCAGCTGAGAACTTTACCTCATATTTCAGTGAAAAAAAATAAGACTGTTTTCCAAGAGCCCCTTTTTCTCCCCTTCTCCTCACTTTATATTACCCGAGTATCTTCTGCTACTGTGTCCTTCTTCATCCCTGTCCCACCTAAAGAAGTGGCTCTTTTCCTTGCCAAAGTAGACCCCTCTTCATGCAGGATGGATCCCATTCTATCCCATCTTCTCCACTAGATTGTCCCTTCTGTCATCCCAGTCACTCATAATCTTCAAATTCTTCTTATCTACAGGCTACTGCTTTGCTACCTAGAAACAAATTCATCTCTTCCTCATTCCCCCAATATACCCTTACTTGATCCATCCATCCTGTTAGCTAACATCCTGTATCTCTCCTCCCTTTCATGGGTAAACTCCTTGAGAAAATTGTCTACAATTAGTACCTTTACTTCTTTTTCTCTCACTCTCTTTTTAAAATATCTGCTTTTTTTTTCTACTCACAGAGGTTGTTGTTTGTCTCGAAGAGGATCATGACATCAGGGAGGTGATGCCATGACATGCAAATGAATTGGATTTAAGTGAGGGAGGGCTGTGCAAAGTCACCAGCCTACCAGCATCACTTTTTCCTCTGGAGCCATCTGGATCCAGTGGCCAGATATAGATCAGGACAACTTTGATTGGCCAACAGTAGGTCCCAGGTCAAGCCTTACTTAGTCACTGGTTGGGCTCTGATTGTCACAAAATGAATGTAAATAGCAATTATTTCTGTTTTGGCCAGAAATCTGGAGGGTCTTTCCCTCCCAGATCTAATTTTTTTTTTTTTGACTAAGTAAAGAGGCCATTCTCTGCCTTATCATTCAACTGCAACTGCTCTCTCCAAAGTTACCAATGATCTCTCTCTCTCTTTCTCTCTCTCTCTCTTTTTTTCTTTTTTCTTTTTTCTTTTTTTTTTGGCTAGGCAATGGGGTTAAGTGACTTGCCCAGGGTCACACAGCTAGTAAGTGTTATGTGACGGAGGCCGAATTTGAACTCAGGTCCTCCTAAATCCAAGGCTGGTGCTCTATCCACTGTGCCACCTAGCTGTCCCACCAGTGATCTCTTAATTGACGAATCAGCTGCCCTTTTATAAACCCTCATTCTTCTTGACCACTCTATAGCCTTTGACACTGAAGATCATCCTCTTCTCCTTGGTCCTCTCACCTCTGCAGGTTTTTGTGACATTGCTGTCTCCTACCAGTCTAACCACTCCCCAGTCCTTTTAACAGAATCTCTCTCCAGGTCACACCTGTTAACCTTGGGTGTCCCACAGGGCTTTGTCAGGGACCCTCTTATTCTTCTATATTGTTTACTTGATGATCTCAATCAGTTCCCATGCATTCATTTATTATCTCTTTGTGGGTGATTCTCAGATCAATTCACCCAGCCCTATCCTCTCTCCTGACCTCTACTCTTACATCTCTAACTGCCAATAGGCATCTGGAACTGGTGTCACATAAGCATCTTAAAATCAATGTGTCCAATATTGAAATTCATTATCTTTCCCCCCAAACTCTCCCTTTTTCCTAAATTTCATATTACTCTTAAAGGTACCACCATCCTTCCAGTCATTTGGGCTCACAGCCTACATGTCTTCCTCATCTCCTCACGATATTCCACCCCCCACATCCAGTCTGTTACCAAAGCCTGCCATTTCTGCCTTCAGACCATCTCTTATGTGTGCTTCCTATGACACTGCCACCACCCTGGTATAAACCTTCATCACGTCACTTGGAGCATTGCAATAGCCTTCTGATTGGTCTCTTCACTTCAAAGTCTCTCTTCACTCTAATCTATTTTCAATTCATCTGCCAAAGTAATCTTCCTAATGCTCAAGTCAAACCATGTCTCTTCTCCTCTTCCCTCTCACCCAAACCCTACCACTACACAGTAAACTTCAGTGGTTTCCTGTTACCTCCAGGATCTAATAAAAACTTGGCTTTTAAAGCCCTTCGTGGCCTGGTCCCTTTCTACCTTTCCAGTCTTCTTTGTACTTTATTCCCTCCACATACTCCTTTCTTTCACAAGACCCTGTATCTCTGGACTCCATGCCTCTTCACTGGCTGTCCCTCATACCCAGAATGCTCTGCCTCTTTGTCTCTACCTCCTGACTTCTTGACCTTTTTTTTTCTTTTTTTTTTTTTTTTGGGCAAGGCAGTCAGGGTTAAGTGACTTGCCCAGGGTCCCACAACTAGCGAGTTATCACGAGTATGAGGTTGGATTTGAACTCAGGCCCTTCTGACTCCAGGACCAGTGCTCTTTCCATTGCACCACCTAGCTGCCCCATTTCCTTGACTTCTTTCAGGTCTTCCGTAAAATATGACTACTTAGCCTTAATTGACTTCTTTGTAAATTTCCATCCATTGCATTTTCTTTGGGAACCAAATAGACAAAATGTAATCCCTCCTACACATGACAGCCCTTCACATATTTGAAAACATCTGTCATAACCAGTTCTTGGATTTTCTCACAAAAAATTATACCTTTTAATACACAGTGCATATTGTTACCTCCCTTTTCACTGTTTCTTTGTTTCTTCTGCATGAATTCTGCAGAACTATCCAGTTAGTGGGTTTCATTCTGCCAAAGTCTCAGTGAGGTCAAATTTGCCTCCTTGTGTCTTAATCTCTGGTTCTTCTTGCTTGTTGTCTAACTTTTAGGGGTCTGTGTAGAGGCATTTTGAGGCCAGGGACTTTAGTAATTGTTGTGAATGTCTCAACTTTTATTGATTGTAGTTGTGGTATCTACCTCTGAGGAATATACAGAGGCGGTCTTTTCACTTTCACTTCCTTTTTAGTTTAAAGTTCGTGGGACTAGATTTGTAAGGCTTCAGGAAAAATATATTATTGTAAGCATTGTTAGGCATATTCTATCTCTGGCCAGGAATCTTATCATCCCTACGTTTCAAACTATGGTCCAGGAGTTTTCATCACTTTCTTAGACGTTGCCAGGTATTCAGTTCCCATATCAGTTTTTCTTCTCCTTTGCCTTCAGTGGGCAACAGTGAGTCAAATACAACCTGTTGCCCTGTGCTTGCCCACAGCTTGGTTATCTGTAGCTGTACTTTTTAGGCAGTATCATTTATATCCAAGCAACAGTTGTCATGCATTTTGATAAATCTTGCCATATTCTCTGTTAGTGTCTTGAATACATGCCCCTGCCTTGGTACCCCCGAGCACGAAATCACCAGCTACTATTACTCTTCTTTTCTTTCTCCAACTTTTACCAAATAATTTCTCAACTGATAACTTCTTTACCTGCAATAAAGTATTCTTGGAAAGACAAGCAGCTACTTCTTCAATGCTTCCAGCTTCCCATTTTTAGGAGGTACTTTAAATCTGTGTTTGATTTCCAAGTTTAGAGCTGTCCTTTTCCTTCTGTTTTTTCATCTACTCATCAAACTCCTGACAAGTGTTGTCTCCTGTCTTCTACCTTAAATCTCCCCCACCTCCACCCTTGAATCTTGGCTTCTGTTTCCTTTAAAAGTACTTTATTCTCTTTTACAAGCCTGGAGGTCGTCAAAGCATTCTTGAGTTCCTAAACCTTTTTCTCCAGGAGGGAGATTAGCCTCCATTTGGAATCCAGATAATAGTCACTCAGCAGTGGCATCAAACTATTATTTAATTTTTCCTACTTTCCATACTGGTTGAGATTTTCATTCTTATCTTTAAAAAAAAACTGTTTCTGGGTGTTTATAACTCAAAGGTAAGCATCGTCATCATTTCACCAGTTTGCCTCCACTTTCTCATAGTCAAACTTCTTGTAAGCCACAAGAAGCAGTGTTCAGACCAGATTTTCTGACTATGCAGTGAGTGCTCTTTCTGGGATAGGAGTGTAGTACAGTGAAAATAATGTGCTGCATTTCAGTCATCCTCCTTAGAAAATCTGGGTTTTCTAAGGTCCTTCCAACTTTTAAGATCATAATCCTCTAACTTGTATTTCTGAATTTTTTTTTTGCTCGTAGATGGTAAAAGCAATACAGGTTCTACGTATACATTTACTCGAGCTTGAAAAGGTTAATGAACTCTGTAAAGATTTCTGCAGTCGCTATATTGCTTGTCTAAAAACTAAAATGAACAGTGAAACTCTGTTGAGTGGAGAACCAGGAAGCCCTTATTCCCCTGTGCAACCTCAGGTACAATTAAAGCTAATTTTAATAGGATTTCACATTAACTTGTACCAGTTAGATGTGATATGGGAGGAATCTTTGTGGTTTATTTACTTGCGATATTGCTATATTTCTAAGTTCACATTATTTTTGGAAGAATAAAGTAGATTAATTCACTGATATGCAGCTTTGGTTACAAAGATGTGTCTCATAGCATTAATAAGTTGTTGGAATATTCTTGACACCAAAGCACGTGAATGTTTTTATGTCAGGAAAAAAGGGGACAACTTGACTTCAGTACTTTTTAAAGTAGCAATGGTCTGCCAGATGGTAATCTTTAAAGCTGGTGAGATGGATTTGAAGTGTTAATAGAATTGTAGTGGTATTGATAGACTCAAGTTCTCTAATGTACATTGAAATCTATAGTGATATTAAGGTCAAGGAAACAACTTAGGCAAAAGGCTGCTTTAGCCTACGAGCCAATAATTAGTTTTATAAAAAAGTAGCCTGGAAGAAATGGGGCACTAGAGGTCATTCAAGTTTTACATTTTACACTCAAGGCAAAAGACAAGAAATTCGACTCATGCTTGGGTTTTAGGACATGGAGGAAAAAAAGCAAAAACTCTAGCCCATGCCTTAGTGCTGATAGAAATTCAGCTTTGTGTCCCCATTTATAGCAATAATTGGTTATAATGATGACTTTAAATCATCTAAGAAAGGATTAATTATTTCTTGTGTGTGTGTGTGTGTGTTAATACGGACCTTTCCATCAGAGGGAGTTAAAAAAAGGGTTTAGACTTTTAAAGGGTTAAACTTTCCATTATTCAGGATACTGTATTCCTCAAGCATACTAGATAAGGCTTTACCATGATTTTTTATAATAAGATTTTATATCTGCTGAAAACTCTGAGTTAAAAAGTAGTAGATTTATCAGAGAATATCACTTTACTTGCCATTTTTCTTCCATAACTGCTGGACTGTCCTCATTATAGACATAAGTAAGCTCAGCAGTGTCATTTTGGTCATGCAGACTGAGAGCTCTCCACAAACTCTAGGGTGGCCACAGATTGTCTTTGAAATATCCTGAGACAGTATCTTTCAAATAGGGAGTCCTTGCCAGTGCTGTACCTACAAGGATAATGTTTGGACTTCTTTAGTCACTCTGAAATAGTTTAGAGGGCTTCCGGTTGACTTGATTAAATTCTAAGGACTCCTTTTGAGCAGTTTGGAACTGCTGGAGAGTCTCATAAACTTTTCTGACATTATGTAGTCTCTAAATCTCTAGGCTAGAAATGGATTCTCTCTAATATATGGAAAGGTTCTTCTGGACTTTTTCTGGTCCAAATCTGCACCCCAAGTAGATATCTGGGGACTTTCAATGAGCCTTCAAAGCATGACATTAGTACTTAGAATCTTGGGACCCAAATATCTTTATGTTGGGACCCCTAGAGGGCATAATATTAGTAAGAAAAAGGTCATTAAAATTTTAACTGATACTTAAGCTAATGCTTAATAGCTTAATAGTTTAAGCTACTTCTAGTGTTTGAAAATTAGCTTTATCAGAAGAAAAAACTGTTTCAGTTCTTTTTTTTATATAACTTTAGACCACAAAAATCTCTCCCCTCTGGAAAATGGTGGCAGTGGTCACTATTAGTAACTTGATTTATTAGGAAGTATATGGCCCTAATTTTTTTTTAACATCATGACCCAGAAACAGACATTTAACACACTGGTGGTTATTGTATATTTAAAACATAGTAAAGGAGATTAAAGTTAAGATTTATATTTAAATTAAGTTTAAGATTTAGTCAATTAAGTTTTCATTTCAGTTTTTAAAATTCAATTCACCAGGCAAATATCTATGGCAACTTTTACTATGACTTTTTTTACAGTGCTACATGTTTTTTGTTTGTTTTTTTCAGTGTATGAATACTCCTATGATTTTGTTTCTCTGTCAGAAATATGTATATTTTGGGTCTTATTAGTCCATAACCAGTATTAATCTGGTCTCTTTGAATATGGCATATTTGAACATCATCTGATTGGCATATAGGACTAACCATATTTCATCTTTTATGCGACAAAGATTTTATTTTGTTCTTTTGATGGGTTAGCGTGTGATTTTTCTGTTTAGTATTTAAAGTTTTTTGTACTGACAGTGTCTCAAGGATGTGCAGTGGAATGATACTGCAAATAACTTTTAAAACAAACAAAAAACAATTGCTTAAAGAACGCTGGCTTTTTAAATGTTTGTACCTTTGGAGACCCATACACTTATTGCAATTAAGGAAATTGCTCAGAATATTTTTAGAATTCTTTTGGATTGCTTTTCATTTTAGAATATCCTCAATATTATAGTAATAGCAAATCTTTTTATATTGAAGGACTTCGGAGGGAGGGTATTGGGAAGAATGCAGGCAGAGGTGGGTCCCTAGAATAATGGATTTTTTTTTTGGTACACCAAACTGTGAATGATAGCTGTATCAAAAAAGGAGTTTATATATTTTTACATATATACAATATATAACAATCCTCATTGCTTTTTAAAACCTATATGAAGGTAGTTTAGTCTGTTTTCAGATTAACAATTATCTTTCAATTGTTGCAAAAATAAGTTCTTTTTGAAACTAATGTATTGTTGGCTACTATATTTTATGATCAGTAAATTTTGAATCTGTGTTTGTGTAATTATATTTGTGTTATTTGCTTTATAATTTTTATTAACAAGTTTGTTAATGTTTTCTTTAATAAGTGCCTCTTTCCATTGTTAGTGACATGAATATGCTGCTTTTTCAATAATTGAATCTTCATTTCTTGAATAATAATTCCATTTTTACCTCATAACTTTTAGCAAATTCAAAGTGCCATCACAGGTACACTCAGTCCCCAAGGGATAGTGGTGCCGGCATCAGCATTGCAGCAAGGAAATGTAACCATGGCAACAGTGGCAGGTATGACACTAAGAAAAAGTGAATCGGTTTTGTTTCATTCGATTGGGTGTTTTTAATATCATATAACTAAGAAAAAGCATGAATTTTTTTCATTAATAGTTTTTTATTTGTTAGTTCCAGATGTAGAATAACTGAAATGAATGCTTGACTCTTGTGCTTATAGTCTATCAAGCATACTTTATGCAAAATGATTTTTTCAACTAATCAAAGCCTGAAAATCCTTAAGGTTTCCGTAATTTTTAAAAATGCTAGGTAGCAAACACTGTCCACTATTTTCAAATAATTTAGTTCCTAGAGGGACAGTATAGCAAGCTAATTTCAGATTCAAGAAGACTCTCAAGTTCAATCTTCCCTCTTATTTTCTGATTTGATGACTTTGGGAAAGTCAATCTTTCAGAGCCACCAAACAACTGAGTTGTGATTCTACATTGATACAGGGAGTTTCCTTATTAGGTGGTCCTTATACCAATGAAATAACAAGTCTAGTCTTTTTTTTTTTAAGAAGAGGTTTCTATCTGTGTTATTCTATTGATATCATCTGGAATTCAAATATGAAATGAGTTACTGCCACTTCATAGAAAATACAGTTAAATTAAAATGCATAGTTGTAACATAGATAGTTTAATAGCACAGCCAAAACAGATGCAGAAAAGCCAACTTACCCTATTCTATTTCAAATATTTTAAGTATTTGTTACAACTAATCTATACTCCTTCATCCAGGATTATAGTGTTTGTACCTTTCTACTTTTATATTCAGTAGCTTGACTGATAGCCATAGACCTATTTGAGACTTGCTTTATTGCAGCAGCACTTATTCCTAGATATAATAGGGACAGAATAGGTAGAGAAAAAAGTTAGAAAGAAGAAAAAATTTGGGAGAAGAAATCAGGATCATACAGGAAAATAATTCACCTAGAGTCCCTCTAGCCATTGGCAAGACAGGCATCTTCATTTCCTCAGTCACTTGGAGACAGTGGAAAGAGCCCTGTTTTCAGAATTAGATTTCATTCCAGTCTTAGCTCTGTTTCTTACTGGTCACTTCAGCCTCTAAAATGTACAGGAAAAGAGGATTTGCTAGGAAGGGCTCATGTTGTGCAGGGTTTTATTTATAAAGCCCTATGAGAAACAAGACTTGCCACTAACCTCCTCACTTTTCAGTTTGTGATAGGTGACTATCTGAAATATTTTGTATTTTCAAGAAATTACAAAACAGGTGGGAAAAAAGGTGTTTTGTGGAGTTTCTGTGGGAAAAGTTACATGATCAAGGTTTAACCTTCTACCTATAGTAGGTACTCAATAAGCAATTTTGCTAAAAGTAGAAAAGTACAATCACTATAATCCTGGATGAAAGAATGTAGGTTAGTTGTAATGAATACTTCAAATATTTGAAATAGAATAAGTTGGCCTTTCTGTACCTATTTTGGCTTTGCTATTACTTGATTTTAATTTAATTTTAATTTTTAAGTGATCCGTTACTTAGCAATTTGCTGATATATTAATAGGTATTCAGGCAGTAGCAAAGCAAATCTTGTAAAGGTACAAACTTAACATTTTTTTCCTTTTTAAGGTGGCACAGTATATCAACCTGTTACAGTGGTCACTCCACAAGGTCAAGTTGTGACACAGGCATTGTCACCTGGAACCATTAGGATCCAAAATTCACAGGTGGGTTTAATTCTCGTGGAGTGATGTGAAGGTTGGTTTGATTTTTGGCTGCTGTGAGTGGAGGGTCCAAGGATTTGAGCAGTACTATAGTGATTAGTATTAAATCAGACTGAATTTTATGTAAGTAATCTCTGTGGTAAATGTTAATTGGAAAATATTGCTGATGAGATTTCAGTTCATGCAGCCTGGCACTTTGAAGAGCAGCTGTGACATGCTTTTTAAAGCAGTTGCTAGTACAAATAAGAGAATTGAACAGACTCTATAGTAAATAAATGTCTTTATTTTTGATGATTACTTTCTCTTAACTTTAAGGAAGTACTGATGATGGAAAGCTACTTTACAATGAAGTGATATTATTGAATAGTTTTTAGTTTTGATAAATATTAAATCAGAAACAAAGTTTGTAGTTTTCAGTTTTTTTGTATTAGAAACACTTACTTTGTGTATGTAAGAGGCAAAATGGCATAATATATGGAGAGCTAGCCTTAGAGTCAAGAAGGCCTTGGTTCAAATCCTGCCTCAGACACGAATCAGCCTGGAAAATCGTTTACTGTCTCAGTGGCCCAGCCAATTCTCAAAGACTGTTAAGTTGCAGAGAAAGTACCAGTCCACATGTCAGAAGAGTTCTTCTAGTGGTGTTCCTTGCACTGATGAAATTACAGGTCCAGTCTTCCCCCATAATGTTTCGTGTAAGACATGTCTGTAAACACACAGAGTAATTACTCTTATTATAAACCTCTTATTTTAAATTCTAAAGTTTCTGAATGTTTATGTTTTACCATATATAAAATTCTCAGGTTGGTTAAGAATCTAGTTTTAGGATAATGGGAGAGAACCCATAAGAAAAAAATGACAAATGAAGTAGAAATTATATTCTAAGAGCAGTTTTTAAAAAATTGAATGTGGGCTCATTTGCTACATTATTTAAAAGGAAGATTAAGCTGCCATGTGCAGGAGTTCATTAGGCAAAGCATATTCTCATTGTATTGAGTGAAAACTTAAAATCAACTATCTCTCACATTTAGCTGTGTCTCATTTTTTAACTGACTGAATCTTACTTTTAAATTTTAACAATCATGTGTTTCTCTGCTTTCTTGAATAGTGTACTTTTAACTCTTTTTTTTTTGGCTCCCTCACAGCTAAGCTGCCTCATTCTCTAGTCAGGGTCTGTTATGCCTTTGTCCACTCTCAAGTCCTCCTTGGCTTTCAGAAGAAAGGTAAAGGTGTATTTGAGAGAAGTACCCTGGGAGTAAATTGTCTGCATTTGATGCTTTTTGTGTTTGCCCCACAGCTCCCAGGAAAGCATAGAGATGAAAACATTGCCCTGTGGTTGTGCTGGGATTAGGGTGAGCAATAATATACCATCATCACTTTCCTTTTGCTCCTATGGCTGTAATTAAGGAGGTGAAGGGCTAGAGAGACACTCCATTTAAGTTAGCTAGTGATGATGGAGGGTTAAAATCACCGCTGCAAAAAAGCTAGTCAGTTTGGCAAATGACTAACAACTGGAGTTGGTTTTTAAAAAATTCCATTCCTGTGTTTGATAAGGCCTTTTGCCTAAGGATGATAAGGCAAATGAAAAGGCCAGGTGATTTTGTATGATTTGGCCCAGTCTTGCATAGCTCTGTAGGTGAAATACGTGTGTGGTGGGTGGAAGGAAGGGCAAAATAAAAACTATCACCTGAAGCAAAACACTTGCCAGTCCTAGACCATATGACTCCTCCAGTGGATGTGACTATCCTGGTAGCAGAGGTAGGGCCAGGAAAGCTGAAAGCCTAGTGTGTGTAGGGTACAGGATAAAGGGATGACATGATCCTCTGCCCACTTGAACCCTGCCTCCATGGTTAAAACAGAGGTTCATCAAATGAGAGAAGGCAATGGCAAAAGTGAGTTTTTCCAGAGCGTAACTCTATTCCCCTGAAGGAATATAGCAGAGGCACGGGTAGGTTTTAATGCTGACATTGACCCACTCAAGTACCTAAGCTGTAGGCTTCATCAACAAAGTTCTGTCATTAGTCTTACTCCCATAGAGGGGAGACTTCCTTGGTAGTCTAGCTACTGAGCATCCAGTCTTCTGACCATTTATGAGGCCCATAGTAAGAGCCCAGTAATCCTTGTAATTGACAACTTGCTCCTTTCCCATTTTCAAATAGGGTAGCCTATTGACTCTTTAAGTTGAGTCTTCCCACTAGGAGAACTACTTAGGGACTCAACCAGAAACTAAGCTAAGTGTGATAGAGAGCCAGAGGAGCCAATCTCACTGGGAGGGTCTGAAGTGTCCAAATCTTCATGAAGAGGCATCCAAGTGGCTAGAGCTGATAGTGGTAAGGGGAAGGACTCAGTGAAGACTTCATTCTCAGAAGTACGTCCTCAAATAGTAACTATTTTGTGGAAAGTGCTGGTGCTCGAGGGCCTGGTTTTGTCACATTCTAGAACGTATCATTTGTACTTGACAGTGGAGACTTCCTGGGTTCTGCCAATCCTATTAGAGTCAGTGTCTTAACCTTCTTTAGTATGAGAATATCTAGGCACAACAAAAGAAAAACGTCCGTTGATTAGGCATTTCCTGGTTACCAATGCCCCGTAGCATCAAAGAGTTCCTCTCAAAGGTAGGCAACCTCAGGAGGGTGGCTCTAGAAATCCAAAAGCTATCAGTTTGAGCTCCTACAGGGATCTACCGCAGGTTCCATTTTGATTGTAAATTGAGGCACTAACTTTCAGGGTTTTGAGGCCCTTTTCATCATAAGGACCCAAGGGAAGGGCATGGTGAACAGTTTCCTTAATATTCTGTAGGGCAGAGGACTATTTAGGACCCCAAATGAAGGTGGCATACTTTCTGATGATCTTATAAGTGAGGGAGAGGGCACCCAAATGGAGAACATGGGTCTACTAAAACCTAAAAAGTCTTAAGTGTTAGGTCTCCTTTTTGTATGACAGGGCAGCCAGGGCCTGGAATTTACCCTAAACAGAAGTGAATGTGGGGTAGGTGTGCCCCTCCATGGCATTCCACAAATTTTACTAACCTGGAGGGCCCTCTGTCATCCAAGGCTTGTTTGATTTTCTATCCACAAGAGCACAGATGAGGAACTACTTTACAAATGGCAGTGGGAGTAGTTGCAGAGGAATATTCACTTAACACATCATCAATATAATGATGAAGGGGAACTATGGGTGACAGTCTCAGTAACCAACACTTTGTCAACAACTTTGAGGAGGACCACACACTGTTCACCTCCTAATAAAGCCACCAACTCTTGTCTGCTTTCCACATTAACCAAATAGGGTTGTTGTAGGGAGATGTGGTGTGAGAGAAACCTGCTCTCTTTGATAGTCTGCTGTGTGAGTGGAAATTTCAGCATTGTCCCTGGGGATTGCAGTATCAGTCAATGATGAAATGATGCAAAGGATAGAGAGGTTTCCCCCAGCTTTCCTTTCTGTATTGGACTTGGCTAATCTAACTGGGTCCACCTTACCATGAACCCAACAAATCCATTCCCATGATACATTCAAGCTGATTTACAGCAGTGATAGGGTGTGTACGCCTGATCCCGCCTTTTTCCCAGCAGGGGTCTTTGCCTCTCAGGTGGTAGTTTCTCCAAAATTTCCTACTTTCAAGGGGGTTCCCGTGTTTCACCCAAGTGTGCTTCCTAGGGATTTAGGTCACCTGAATTCCTTTAGAATAGCTATCTTATGAGTATTAGGGTCCTTCAGGAGTCTATTAAGCATGATTTAGAGATATGTAATATCCAGTTGACCCTCAAAGATGCCTTTTTTCTGCTCAGTAAACTGTCACCTGAACATAAGGCCACTGAGCCCTCATTAATCTAATAATAAGAACAAAGCATGTTTGGGAAGCGTGGCCACCTCAGTCCTAACAATCCAAATCTCATAAAGACAGGATACTGAGGGCATTGAGGAAATCAAGCAAGATACCAAGGCCCCCCTCTGTCTCTTCTCTTGGTATTTCTTGTCCTAGTAGCCATCAGTCTCTTTACTGAACATATGTTTTAATAATCAAGTATGTAATTGCTCCTGTTGCTTTGATGTAGACTGCCTGGGAGAGCAACATTGAATGGTTCTATTTAAACTGACCCACCTTTTGTTTAGCATTTAGGAGTAGAGGTGTGCAGTCCTGGATTGGGCAAACTCCCAGTTCATGACTGCTTCCAGGCAGGAGGAGTGCTGCCTAGGAACTTAGCTCTAGTGGCCACTAAGGCCTTCAGTTTGTAAGGAGGTGGGAGCTTCTTCAGATAGTCAGTAGTGTATAGTTACTTGAAAACCCCTAACTTTTTTTAAAACAGAGAACACCTTCCTAATTCTGTTTCCAGAATTAGATAAGCAGAGAACTCACTTTAGGAAGCCAACCGTACCTGATTCTTGCGCAAACCTGCTGAAACAGAGATGTGGTTTTTCTAAAAATAATTTTAATGCTGTCGTAAACAGTGCATGGCACCAAAATTGTCTGGCAACAGGGAATCCTCATTTATTGCTTCCAATTTACAAAATCTGACTTTTGTGAACAAATTTTCAAGGGTAGTGCCTGTTGCCCATAAGTGAATCAGATAAACATGTAAGGCCTCCTCCAGCTGGCAATATTTGATCTTCAGGCAACTAATTTTCTTTCCTAAGAACTCTCTAGTCCTTCTCATTTCAGGACTCACTTTGGTATAGTGATTTATCATACCTTCCAGGTCCCAATCTGAGGTGGGGTGGGGACTAGGGCTAAGATTGCGTTTTTTAGCATCGCTTTGCTGAGATTGTGAATGTTACCACTTCTTTTTTTTTTTTTTTTTGAGTTTATCTGAAGCATAATTATTTCTGCTCTCGCGTCTCATTTTAATTCTGTGAATATTTGTTTTAAGTGTAAATAAAATGTTGTTGGATTCTGTTTTCTGATACATTATACCTTACACTTTACTTCCTGACACATACTCTTCTATCCAGTACCACTGGCCTCCTGCTATTTCATGAACAAGAGACTCTCTTTCTCAGCTCCGGGC